CCCCAAAACCCCAAAACCCCAAAACCCCAAAACCCCAAAACCCCGTCAACCTTATTTATAATTGAAGCAAATACATGGAACAAAGAGTTTACGACAATATCTCTACTTTGAAGAGGTAGCCACAACGATGGTATGAGGATATAGGCACAAGCAGTCCGTTTCATTTGATTCAGAGAATAAGCCAGCCCTTATGAAAACATCATCTACTGGAAAAGTATGGCTAAATCAAGTAAGAAATACCCTTAGAAGGATTTTCACTTTAATTGTTGAAAATTTTGTACCAATGAAATTATAGAAGAAAAACTCTCTCAGTCGATCTATGAGACCAAGGTAGGTTCACCATCAAGCCCTTCAGAATTGATTTCGGATAATAATTATTCTTAGATTAGGAAGAATAGAGACAAAATAACATTTTAGAAGCATGAGTAACCAAGGAAAGCCAAATCAAGGTATTTTCTACAGTCTTTCATTTGATAGAAAATTTGACCCATACTCCTCTTCCACAGCTGAGAATTCTAAAATTCCAAAACACAAATAACCGAAAATACTCCTTACCCAGATCAAAACTAAGGCAGAAACATGACTCTACCATTAAATCAATACCTATTTCAAACAAAGAGGCTCTTGAGATTGTCCCTGATAATGGTCCAGCTCAACATCCCTCTGTTTTAAATCCAATTTCTGAAAAAGCAAAGAACATAATCAAGAGCAAACTTCTGCCTATCTTCAGCAGGAACAGGCGTGAAGACCTGACAATAAATTTTACCTAATGATTTCCTAAACAAGAGGCCTAACACTCCTGGAAGCAGCCTCAAATTGTAACCTTGCAGCTTAAATTTTTAGCCCTGAGCACAAAGATGCGAAGACATTCTTAAAATAATTTAAAGAAGAGGAGCAGGAAGATCCACAGAAGGATTCATTTAGAGTAATTCTTGTTCATCATCATAGGTATGACCTCCATAAAATTCAAGCTAAGGTATGCCCCTCTTTTGCATTTTTAGGCGACTCTAAACAGACCAGTTTCTAAGAAAATGATTAAAAACACAGATGTCAACAAATTTGTTAATTTGAAGCACAAGGTGTTACCAAAGCCAAACCAAAGAGATCTTTTGGACCACTCAAAAATTCTTCAGAACCAAGTCTCTAAATACTCGTTCGCAACAAAGAAAGGAATTAGCTTGAAGAGGAACGTGCCTCCGAAATGTAAGATTTAGTTAAACTTCAGCGAGTGAGAACCAAGATTCGTACATTGCTTCGCCCAAAATGATGGGTTACAACTTTCTGCATCTCTTTGCCATATGTGATGGTCATGGGACAAACGGCCATAAGGCTAGCAATTTCTTGAGGAATACCCTTCCAAAGGAGTTAAAATAACCGCTTGCAAGAAGAGACTAGAAGTAATGGATCACAGTCTCTCGATATCTCAAAATTAGCAGAGCAAGGAAAATGCCCTCTTAGCCAAGATATGTACAACCTGTTCGTTAACTCTTTCCTTGACACCAATGATAGCTTAATTCGACAAGAATTTGACACTAAATTTTCAGGCAGCACATGTTGTGCCCTTCTGATATATGAAAAATAAGATATTCTGAGCGAATGTTGGGGATAGCAGATGCATACTAATCAGAATTCCTAATTTAAAGCAAAGATTAGCTGAGAATTCTCACTCTAGTCGAGTTCAGAAATCATCTGAAGATGCCAAAGAGCTGAAAATCACAGTTCTTGAGTTAAGCAGAGATCATAAGCCGGATGACCATGACGAAAGAGAGAGGATAGAGTCCAATGGAGGGGAGATTCAATCCTATATTAACTCCAAAGGGATCTGTGTCGGGCCGAAGCGAGTGTGGGTCAAATAACCACAACTTCCCAGGCTTGGCAATGTCCAGATCTTTTGGAGATGAAATCGCCTCTCGAGTAGGAGTCTCTGCTTGCCCTGAAATCAAAGAGACAACTCTTACTCATGAAGATGCTTACATTGTCATTGCTAGTGACGGTGTCTGGGAATTTTTAGAAAACAAAGAAGTTGCTGAAATAGTCTACGAATATTATGTACAAGGAAATGCTGAAAAAGCAGCAGAAGCTATTGTCAAAGAAGCATTTGATCGTTGGAAAAATAGAGAAATCATTGTTGATGACATCACATGAATTGTCCTCTTCTTGGACATTAAAGATTAACCACCAAACTCTGATATCTTTTCAATCTAGCCTTAATCCAGTGGGGTTTTGGGGTTTTGGGGTTTTGGGGTTTTGGGGTTTTGGGG